AATCAGTAAAATGTTGAAACTGTACATATAGGCCTACGTTTCCTTGAATAGCATCAGCATAGGTCCAGTTTGGTATCTAATTAAAGGTTTTGTTTAGTAAAATAGAGGTCGGGCGGAACGAGGTGAAGCCTGAGATTTTCGGCGGGAACGGTCTAAAGCGGGGAAATCCATGGTGGGGGTAGGAGACGAGCCGATCGTCGCCTCGCATAGCGACACTTCCCCCGCCACACCACTATTCCCCTCAAAGCTTCACCTCATTCCGTACGACCTCTACATTGCCGTAAGCCCGAACTCAAACCAACAACCGAGTCAAAATGGCAACCGTTCAAATATTTCTTGAATCTGCCATTTTTTACCCAGCTGTTATTTTGAGCTCAAATTTACGGCATTGTATTCTACTAAAGGTACCTTGGGACCAACCTTTGCTCGGGAAAAATCATTAGTTCATATTTAAAGGGAATTAAAGAATTTAGTCAGCTGTTTCAACTTAAAAAGTTGGTTCTATGATATGTAAAATCATTAAAAAGTGATAAGATTTACCAACAGGGTGCAGCACAATATTTTTTTGCATTTATGAAAACAGCGAATTTGAACTAAGCAGCAACAAAAAACATACATACATGATACATGATCTCTCCGTCCGTAGTCCTTTGCCTTAAGGAATTGGACAGGTCAGGGTTAATACAAAGAATTTTTTGGTAGGGCCTGGTACAATTTCATTCCCATGTAATCTGGTTTGTGTTAAAATTTTGTGAGTTTATGTTGGACTGCATGTGTGCCCTTTGTTCGGGTGTTGTAAGTGTGATTTGTAAAAGTTGGTTTAATGTTCTGTGATTTTATATAGCAAACTGATTCAAAGATGAAAAGTGAAGGGACTGTGAGAAAGCCAAGTTCTTTAAAAACATTTTTGCAGATGGTCCGAGGCGGCATGCCCAAGATTGCTCTTACTGCCATGTTCTGCCAAACAAAGATCTGCTCAATATTCTTCTTCACAGCTCCCCATAGGATGATTGAATACAAAATGTGTTGTTCTATTAGGCCAAAATACACAAGTTTAGAGAGTGCCAGGTTTCCGAAGGTCCTTATTCTTCCAAGTACAAAGACCCCTCGAGCCAATGACCCCTCCAGTTTTTTTATTTGTGCATCCCAGCTCAATTTATCATCCAATCACACTCCCAAAAAGTCGGCAGTTTTTGAAATTTGGATTTGATCCTCTCCAATTAATACGTTCGGAGTCCTATTATTTTTTAAATGTTGTCTTTTTGCAGTTTGGATACACATGTATCCTGTTTTTTGTGAATTCAATTTGAGTTTGTTTGAAGAAAAAAAGTCAGCCAGATCATTTGCTCTTTGATTAGATTCTGCCTCCAGGGCCGCGTCGTCAGTCCCCCTTACGAACAATGTTGTATCATCCGCAAAGAGGTAGACGCTGTCCTGCGGAACAGTATCTGTTATGTTATTGATGTAGACCAAGAAAAGGAGAGGTCCAAGGACAGATCCCTGGGGGATGCCATTGGAGATTTTTTGTTGATGAAATTCTTTCAGTTTTTGAATTTGTGTTTTTTTAAATCTCAGTGACTTGGAATCGGTTGCTCATATAGGATGTGAGCCACTTCAGCACAAGTCCTAAGATTCCAATTGATGCCGATTTTTCCAATAGAATCGCAGGTTCGACACAATCGATGGCTTTGGAGAGATCAGCAAAACAACCAACTACTGTTTCTCCAGCCTCCATTGCATCTAGATACTGCTGTTGATGAAATCAACGAGTGCCAATTTTGTTGATTTGTTGCGTCTCCAACCATATTGTCTGTCACACAATATGTTATGTTTTTCCAAGAAGTTGCTAAGTTGCTCCGTAACAACTTTCTCAATCAATTTTGAAACGACTGGTAGGAGAGAGATTGGCGATAATTCCCCAGGTCAGTTCTGTCTGGCTTTTTAAAAATTGGTTTTATTTTTGCAGTTTTGCAATTCTGAGGGAAAATTCCAGATGACAGTGAAAAATTGACTATGTGGGTAAGAGGAACTGCCACTTCCTCACTGCATACTGATTCCATCTACACCACTAGAGTGTTTAGATGGAAGCTTTGAGAACAAATCCAGAAGGTAAGCAGATGTAATTGAATGAAATTGTCCAAGTTCAGAAGTGCCATTCCTCCTAAAACCAGATAAGGCATGGGTTTCCTGATCCTTGTTAACAAGCTTCGAAACATTAACAAAATAGTCATTCAAGGTTTCACACACATCTATAGGATTTTCTATTTTGTTACCGTCAATATTCAGTATATACTATTATTACAGTCTAAATTTTATTTTGGCCTAATGCTTTTTATAATCTTCCAAGAGTCTTTAGATTTATTTTTTGAGCTGGATATGCAATCGTGTGCCCATTTTATTTTACTTTCCTGTATTTTGTTTTTATTTATTTAATTTTTTTTTTTACTGTGATAGGCCTACGCAATGAGAACTAACTGTCAAAGTAGGATTGTTTACAGTTATGTTTAAGGTAAACTGCCCAAATACCGTGACCTTAAGGACGGTTCTCTTGAAATTGCTTTATAACAAATAAAATTATGACTTTTGGAACAAATATTTCTTACCAATATAATGTGTACAATTTTCTCAACAAAATGATGGTTTCAGGTTGTGCTATGACCAAAAAATGTATTTTCTACGTCCGTATCAACACTCAATTTTCCTACTATTTCCTAATTCCGTGATTCACAGAAAAAAATCCGTGATTTTTCAGCCAAAGTCCGTAATACAGCAATTTTGCAGCTAAAAGTTTCTAAAAAGACCAGAAAATTCCTAATTTCATAAAAAAAATAGGAAAATATAACCTCAAACACTTAATTGTACCAGCAGATGACGATGACAGGTAAAATTCAGATGTTTGTAAAGAGTAAGAAGAAGGATTATGCATCACGTCCTTAGAGGCTAAACTCCAATAAACATATTTTGTTGTTGCTCCAATTTTATTTAATAAATTACTTTCCCATTTTTTATCTATAAATATAAACTTTTATGGAGATTGGAAAAGAAGGAATAATTAGGTTTTAAAACTAGATAATCTAACAAAACACAAGAAGCAAGTGTAAAAAAGAATTTATTGAGAAGTCTGCAAAAAATTGGTTACCTACTACACAATAACTAAACAAATCACATACATGACCAAACAAGGCTAAACTGGATGAATAATTTTAAAATATTTAACAAGAAAATACATAATGATAGGTAGGCCTATAGTGCGTTCACATAGCCGTGGCACCTGAGGGATTAGGAGGCCCCAAGGGTTTCCATGGGGTGTCCTAATCCGTCAGGTGCCACGGCTGTGTGAACGGAGTATACACTCCACTATTAACACGTTCGCGGCGGCATGGGAGCGATCGCTCCCATAAGGAACCCTAATGCCATCCTGGTGGGTGCGATCGCTCCTAAGCTGCAATGCAGTACGAAATGATCTTTCTTTAAGCTAGGATTAGAGCTAGAAACTTGAAACCTCGCACAGCACTACTCAATAGTATACTGTATTTTTTGTGGTGTCGGTTGGTAGTAAATTTCCCCGTAAAATCCCCGTCTTGTAATTCTCAAAAATGTACTTTTTGTCCCGTCTTTTTCCCTCCATTTGGCAATACAATTCCAATGGGACCGGCTACGTTCCAAGCAGTGCTGCTATCTGTGGGTGTTTAGCGAACTACGTCGACGTAAAGCAGGACATCCTCGCACGTTATTTGCTATACGTCAGACCGAAATTGGAAAGCCAATCACACGCGGCAATCGGGTTTGTTCGATGCTGAGGGCTGCGCCGCACTGGGGATACGCCCGCCATTTGACGTGCCGCCGCAGAACGTGTTAACAGTATTGAACATGAAATGCATAGCCACCAGTGACTCATGCAGGAGGGAATTGGGGTATGAGCTCTGGTATGTTGGGCAGAATTTTTTCATTTCGATATCAAGAATCACGGTAGGCCTATTTGGGTGAGTCACGGTATTTGGCAATTTACCTTATGTTTTTAATTTCATGAATAATTTTTGATAATTTGTGAATTTTTGATGATTTATTTTTCTCTATTGTTTAGGTGAAGTGGTAGAACATTATGGCTATGGTAGATGTGCAATACCATAGAATACTGTAAATTTAAAGAAGCTAATTTTATCAAACTGTGTCCTGCTTCATTGATTGGTATGAACCTGGCAATAACTAGTGCACGCGCCACAAAAAATCTATTGCTGCCCGTTTTGCGGCAAAATACGTCCGCGCTCCATATTACCGATGATGCCAACAGATAGAGGACACTTTAACGGACACGACAGTATCAACATCATGTACCTGGGGAGTTGGTTAGGGGGGGGGGTAAAATCAGCAATAAGTTGTGCACATGCCCGCTAAAATCTATTGCTGGCCGTTTTGCGGCTAAATACGTCGGCGATCCATATTACCGATGATGCCAACAGATAGAGGACACTTTAACGGACACGACAGTATCAACATCATGTACCTGGGGAGTAGGTTAGGGGGGGTAAAATCATTGCAATCATTGCTGCTTCATTGCAAACGCAAAGCTTGAGTATAACTGCAATAAGCATTTTATACTTGCCAACCCCGAAGGACGGGTACTCTGCTAGTACTAAATAATTGCCACATTAAGCTATGTGATGATTGTTGAAAGTAGGCCTACTTATTAAAAGTTTTAATCTAAACAGTTGTGATAAAGACCCAACTTAGGCCTACATCTCCAGTTTTACATTGAGTGTAGACCGAAGTTTTGACTCAGTCTATCCTAGAAGAGCTGGTCAACGACGTCGAGGGAGTAAGTAAGTAATTTAAGTAGAGTAGGCCTAGGCCTAGCTAAAAAAGGTATAGGTAGGTATAGGTTAGGTATACTTAGGCTAGCCTACATTGATAAGATTAAAATTAAGTACAATAGTCTTTTGAGTACCATAGCTCATTTTGAAATCGTTAATTTTTACTTTAGGCCTATAGTTAATACTCACAAATAACTGCATTTTACTAAAGGTCCAAGGGGATGATACTGATTGTCTTTGGTGTCCTCTGTAGTTGAAGAGTTCTTATGTTGTGCAGTGCACTGTTCAACAGTAAAATAGAAAGCAAGTAGAAGTATAACAAAGTAACATTTGAAAACTGGATTTATCATTTCACATTTCCGAAAATTCTCAGATTTCAATAGATGGATGAGGTAGGTGTGTACCTAACCTAGCAAATTTATCAATATTCAATAATTTGTTGTTTGTTTACTAACAACACGAACACGTCTGTTTCGTTGCACTAGCAGCTACTAGTCTGGTTCTGCTGGCAACATTGAAGTATGTGAGGTTGAGGTAACGGCCGGGCTCCCTCCGACTCTCCTGTTAGGCTATTTGCACACACACCGATTTTGGACGGTCGGTAATAAGTCGGTCGATATTTTATCGGATCATGGTGCTTACTTACTTACTTATACTTGAATACTTGATTCCTTCATCTTTGACCAACAAAAGTTGGATAGACTGCGTCAAAAAAAAGAGTAAACTTATAAAACACTATAAACATATATATATATACAATTTAATCTGAACTGACGGATGTGACTCGGATTTTTGGAAAGGCGAGTGGTTCGTCAATCAGTTCCTTAATCGAGTACAGGGGCCTACTGACTAGGCTCTGGCGAAGTGCAGACTTGAACTGTTTTGGTTCTAGGGTCCGGATGGTTGTCGGTAGCGTATTGAATAATTTTATCGCTAGAGATGGGTATGAATTAAGCGTGTGGCTAAGTCGACAACGGGGTGCATCCAGGTCATAAGCTCTGCGGGTCCCATAGTTGTGCTGCATGTTTCTGGTTGAGAAGTTGTTTATATTTTCTCTCAAAAGGACTAGGGTGTTTAACGTATATTGGCTGTAGACTGATAGAATGCCAAGTTCCTTGAAAAGAGGCCTACAGTGGTCGGTAGGGCCGGAGGATGTTATTAGCCTTAACGCCTTCTTCTGAAGCAACAGCACACTCTGGGTCGCGTGGCTATGGCCCCATACCACCAGTCCGTAATTTATGTGGCTATGGAATAAAGCATGGTACATTATGACTAGGTAGGGACGTGTGATCTCATGCTTAAGTTTCCTAATCAGATATAATATTCTACTTAGCCTAACACATACTTTCTCCACATGGAGGTTCCAGTTGAGTTTGGAATCGATCCAGAAACCTAGCAGTTTGACCGCCTCGTCTTCGATGCCCTGTTTGAGAGTGCACGTGACGGATTGTGTTTTATCGTCATTGATTTTGAGACGATTCAAAACGAACCATTCCTTGGCTTCCTCCAGCAGAATTGCTGCCTCGGTTCTCAGGTCGTTCAGGTTGCTGTGCCTGGTCAGTAGTGTTGTGTCGTCTGCAAAGAGCAACGTTCGCCTGTTTAAGGACAGATCATTGATCATTATGACGAACAGGACAGGGCCCAGAATCGATCCTTGGGGCACGCCGTGGTGTATTTGTCTGATACTAGAGGAGGCTCCCTGCAGCGAAACAATTTGTTTCCTGTTTTCTAAGTAGCTGACTAACGATTTGTGGACTACTCCAGTGACGCCATATTTACCAAGCTTTGGTAAGAAGGATATCATGAGATACCACGTCGAATGTCTTGCTAAGGTCACAAAGACTAAGATGGAGGGAGTCATTTGATTCAAAGGCATCAGAGATGTTCTTGACTAGGCTAAGGAGTGCAGAGGTTGTGGATCGTCCGGCCCTAAACCCATGTTGGGAATCGTTGAACAGGTTGTTGTTCTCGAAATAGGCCACCAGTTGCTGTTTCATTACTGACTCCAGAACCTTAGAGAAAACAGGAAGAATTGATATCACATCAAGGTGTGCTTGCACACATACCGGATTTTTATCGGCGAAACGATCAGTCTCTGGTTGTTGTGTCGAGGACGAGACGAGATTACTAATATATTATTCTAAGAGATTATTCTAAGTTCAATTAAAATGCATATTATATTATTTTGACCTAAACTATACATGTAATTGTGTCCACTTGGTTCAATAAACGAGTTATTGAGTTATTATTGAATACTTAATCCTAAAAGAGTTGTTGCTATGTAGTTATTGTATCGACGTAGGTATTAAGCGCCGTATGATCAAACGCATCTTCTGGATTTATCCAATTAATCTAAGCAGAGAAAAAACGGGAACATTCCACACACTTATTTAAGAAATAAGGCTTGATAGCAGTAAAATTTTCAACTACCTTTTTCAAAATGTCAATAGCATCCTTATCTATTAAGTCACCCATTTAAAACGTTATAAACACGCACTACCAAAACTAATTAAAAATGTCAGAAGAGCAGTGGCTTGAAATGGAGGATGGTGTAGCGAGAACTGCCAGACGGTCGGCAAACAATCGGTGTGTGTGCAAGCTTGTATTTAGCTACGTACGCCACTGCGTCGCCGGTACATCCCCGGCACCGGCGGTATGCAGTGGCAGTGGCCGGCAGCTCATCGGCATTTTACCGGCGCCGATCAGCGGTCGGCGTGTGTGCAAGGTCCCGTTCCCGCCTGTGGTTCACTATTGGAATTTGGACGACCGCTGCCACTACACCGACGTTTTTGTTTCCACCTCCGCCGAAACAGTGGCGTAGGTGACCTAATGCACGCGTACACACACATCGGTTTATCTGCCGCTGTCCGCTTGGATTCGCTTGACATTGCACAACGTTTTTAGAGAGTGCGTATTGCAGTAATTCATTTATATTATAATTTCGAGATTATAGTTTCAACATTGAATTGTCATGGCTGAAGCTGAAGTACTTGTAATAGACAATGAACTGTTAATTCATTTGGTTCAAGAAAGGCCCGTTCTGTGGGATAAGACAATAGATACATAGACAGGAATGCGACAAGGAGTGCATTGCGAGAAGTGTGTCAATTCAGAAACGATTTTGACGAATTAGAGGACAACAAAAATTGTTGAGTTTAGACGGCGACGGAGATTATCCGTTCCGTGTGTACACTACGGTTTGCCCATGTGCGGCGACGGCAAATAATCCATGACGGACAAAACCGCCGTGTGTGTCCCCGGCCGTAAAATACCGGTCGTCCAAAATCGGTGTGTGTGCAACGAGCCTTACTGTTATTGTTACTGTTCGTTCCGCGACCGCGAATAGTAGTAGAGTGAACTGAACAAATCAATTCTATAATAGATTGAGGTTATGTTTACTGTCTTTTTAGTGAATGATTGGTTAAAGTGCCTTGTTTAAGTTAATTAAACATTCGGATTTTTTTTTTAGGGTGAGGAGGGAAAATGCTTTTACGCACACAGGTAGCCAGCCTGTAGTGTGAGACTCCTGAGTTTATCACAGACTACTCACTAAAAAACCCCCTCTACTCTGTCGGACACAGACCTGGAATTGTTTGTCACATTACTTCAAGTCAGGCCAACATGTGACCTAAGCCCACAGGGCTCGCACCGTTTCTGGCATTATTTATTTTTTTGACCTACACCGCATACCGGTCGAGGTCAAGCTTCTTGGCGCGGAGAACACCCTGGATGTAAAGTGACACACAGGTCCAATTGTCCTCACCCTCCATCATCATCGGTATGACCGTGTCCACCGACAGCAGTCCTACGAACTGTTGAGCCTCTAGGCGGGGCCTTTCCCAATGCTAGCAGTGGAAGAAAGTGTGTTCCACGTCATCGGGAATGCCTGGGCAGTATATGCAATCGGGTGACACGGCTTTGCCCATCCTGAACAGGTACGACCGGAAAAAGCCGTGACCCGTCAGAAATTGGGTGAGGTAGAAGTTCACCTCTCCGCACCGCCGATTAACCCAAGGTTGGACCTGTTGTATCAGTCGCCTGGTCCAGAGCCCCCTTGTCTCCTGTTCCCAGCTCTCCTGCCACAGCTGGAAGGTCCGGGTGCGTTCCTCAATTCTTGCCTGGTCCTCCCCACGGCGCTGATAAATTGCCTTCCTCTCCGCCGCCAAAAGTTTGACGGGGATGACTCCAGCAACCACCAGGACAGCGGGTTCGGACACTGTTCGATAGGCAGATGCTACCCTTAGTGCTGCCTGACGCTGCACTCGGGTGAGCCGCATCCTATATATCTCCTTATTGAGAGCGTCTGCCCAGACTTCCGCACCGTACAGGAGCACGGACTGGACCGCAGACATCAACAGCCTTCTGCGGCTGGACCGCGGACCTCCGACATTGGCCATTAACCGACTAAGGGAAGAAACCATTTTAGCGGCCTTGTCCGCCGTACGGGTGATCTGGTCTCGCCAGCTGAGCTTGCTGTCCACCATGACCCCAAGGTACTTTGCGGCACGAGTGGTTTGGACTTCAACGTTCCCCACCATCAAAGGCACGATGGTGTCAATCCTCTTTTTAGTCAGAATCACAATCTCAGTTTTGCTCAGAGCGAGCGAGAGACCATGTTCTGCCATCCATGCGTTAACGGTTCGCATGACTCGATTTAGTTTCAGCTGGGCAAGCTCAATGCTACGTGCAGCTATTAAAGCCGCAACGTCATCTGCATACCCAACTAGGACAGGTTCCTCAGGCATCTCGGATCTCAAGAGGCTGTCGTAGGCGACGTTCCAGAGGTCCGGGCCCAGTATGGATCCTTGAGCAGCACCAGAAGTTACATCCATCGTCCTGGAGCCTTCTCTAGTGTCGTAAATGATGAGGCGGTACCGGAGGTAGTCCTCTATAATGCGCATGAGGTATGCCGGGACGTGGAAAGTGTTCTCGAGTGCGTCCAGCATATCGCACCACCTCGCAGAATTAAATGCGTTTCGCACATCAAGTGTTACAAGCAGCACAACCCGACGAGAATAGTTGTTAAACTCCTCAGCTCTCATTACGGCTCGCTTTACCTCCTCAAAAGCGTCAACCGTTGACCGTCCCTTCCTGAAGCCGTACTGACGAGGGGATATATTTCCTGCAGCAACCACGGCTGAATTCAGTCGGAAACGGATCAACTTTTCCAAGACTTTCCCAGCAGTGTCCAACATACAGAGAGGTCTGGAAGAGGAGGGTAGGTCTGGGTTTCCTTTTCCCTTCCCCACGAGCACAAGCCTAGCTGTTTTCCAGCAGAAGGGAAACTTCCCCTCGGCCAGACAGGCATTGTACGTGCTCAAAAGGATTTGTGGATTTATTGAAAAGACTTTCTTCAGGGCCTCACCAGGTACCCCATCCGGTCCAGGAGCCTTGTTGTTCTTCAGGGATAGGACGGCCGCCTCCAACTCCTCGAGACTGAAAAGCGGTACGTCGTCCACCCTTCCGAACTCCCGCAATGGGCGCAGTGTGTGAGTCGGGAAAAGGGACTTTACGATCCTCTCCATAGAGGCCCCGTCCATAACGGAAGGTGGAGAGCGGGTGCCAAGCTTCTTGGTTACTATCTTGTAACCCAGGCCCCACGGATCGGAATCGACATCGTCCCTTAATTTCTCCCAGCAACTGCGTTTGCTCCGGTTAATAACCCGGCGAAGAGACTTCCTAGCCACCTTGTAAGCGTCAGACTTAAGACGTCTATCTTCAGGTTCTCTGGCCCTGGTAACAAGACGTCTGGCTCTCAATGCTGCCCGTCGCAGTTCTGCGATCTCGGTTGTCCACCAGTACACAGGTCGCTTATCGCACCGGGATCTCCTGCAAGGCATTGACTCTTCGCAGGCCGAGACTATCAGCCTCATCAATGATGTAACTGATGTCTCTGCGTGAGCCACGCCAGATGCAGCAGGTACCACTGGCTCTCCCCGTAGTATGACTTCGGTGAATTTGGCCACGTCCAGCTTTTTGGTGTTCCACCGAACGGGCACCTGCCGAGACACGGTAGCTTGTCTCTGATGACTATCCATGACATCAAAAATGATGTACTGGTGGTCACTGGCCGTATAATCCTCTAGGACTCTCCAGGCTCGTATCCTCGGCAAGAGGGACTCAGATGCAAGCGTGATGTCTGGGATCGTTCCCCTCATTCCGGGACGCTGGAAAGTTGGCGTGTTGCCCTCGTTTATGACAACAAGTCCAGCCCTGGCAGCAAAGTCCAGGATGTACTTCCCCCGGGAATTAGTGAGAGTCATTCCCCACTCGACAGCCCCCCCGGACCCAAACGAATCCTCGGCCCTTCGCGTGACTCCTCACCTGCACTTTAGCTGTATTACGAACCCAGAACGCAGCAGTACCAAGTGTATCGGGAAACCAAAGAGATGGGTCCCTGTCCCGGTACTGGTACTGTTCGCTGACCAAGAGCGCGTCAACACCGTGTTCGAGGGCAAGCTGACTGAGAAGCGCGTCAGCCGTCCTGGATCGATCTACATTGCACTGGAGGATCCTTATCTTCGTGGTTGGGCTTTCGCTTGTTGTAGTGCGCCTTTAAATGCACTGCACTGCCCAGACCCAGCTATATGTTTAGCGTTTTTATCATTGAGGCCTTTCTCCTTACAGAGGAAACAGGTCTCAACTTTACAGTCCCTACGAGTGTGACCCACCTCCCCGCATCTAAGGCAGTTCTTGCCTCGGTCGGGCCCTTCGCAGTTTCGGGAGGAGTGGCCGAAATCAAGGCATTTAAAACACCTCGTTACTTCCACCCTCCGTCTCAACCTGCAATTAACCCATCCAACCCTCAAATGCTGGAGTGCCAAAACCTTACTGGCGTTTGCGTCTGCCATTTCGGCGACCGCCATCCGCTGTTGACTCCGGTTTGGTTTCGTGAGCCACACCCTCAGACTAGCCGTTTGTCCGGCAAGCTCGGGGACAGCTTTTTTTAGGGCATCAATGACGTCATCCTCCGTTGACACACAATCCATATCCCGAACCTGTATCTTGAAAACCTGAAATCTTGAATCTTGAACCATGTAAATGAAACTAAATTCTTGGGTCTAATCATAGACGAACATTTATCATGGGACAACCATATTGAACATGTTATAAATAAAACATCTAGTGGCATACACGCTTTAAGGAAAATGGTCCACTGGTGTAATCTAAAAACCATGAAATCTATTTACTTCGCCCTAATTCATTCTCATATTGCCTACGGTATTAGTATATATGGATCGACAACAATAAAGAACATGGACAAAATTCTCATTCAACAAAAACGTGCATTGAGAATAATGTTTCATCTGAAACGAAAAGTTTCAGTGAAACATATTTTCAAGGATTTAAAAATATTTACAGTTATCGGCTTATACATTTATGAAACAATAAAATTTACACTACTCAACAATAAAATTTCAATTGGCAACACAACCCATTCGTATAACACAAGAGCTCATCGTTTAGTTGAACAACACAAATTGGAATTTTTTAAAAAGAAAACCACTTACATGGGCAATTTATGTTTTCATAACCTCCCTCAAAATATTAAATCAGAGAAAAACCATAAAAGGTTGTTAAAATTACTTAAAGAATATCTAATTAAATCTGCTTTTTACTCTCTCCAAGACTTTATCTCATAGCAACTTTATTTTTCTTGTAAATATATGATTTTTTAACTCTCTCTCTCTCTGTCTATATCCTCTTGTAGTTTTTGTAACTAATGTTTATTTTGTATCTTAAACATAATTTTTATTTAAAGGTTTCTTCTATGTATATATTGTAAATACTGTATGATGTGGGAAACTCAGTTACATGTGACGTAGTATGAAACTATTTTATATTATTTTACCTTATGTTGTATGACCTTATGTTATATTTACCTTATGTGTGACTCTATTCTTTGTAAATGTTACAAGAAACAGAATAAAGATGATTTTGAATTGAATTGAATTGAATTGAACCTTGACGGACGTCTTGGGTTCGAGAGCACGAACGGTGCCCTGACCTTCCACAGCTGCCTTTAGTTCGGCAGCAAAGGCGGCTTTATCTTTAGACTTACCCAGTTCGAGGAGGACGTCCCCGTCCCGGGTTTGTCTAATCGACCGTACAACCGTGTCGGTTTGCTCTGGCTTAGCCTTGGCCTTGATAACACCCAAGACTTCGGCGAATGATCTTCCCTCCAAAGGCTTGACCAAAATTGCCTCAGTCCTGGGCTTTTTGGGCCGCGACTTTTTAGCGAGTGCCGAGCCAGGCACAGCTTGGGCCACGCCGGTCGACTGTGCCCTCACTGCCACATATGTCTTGGAGCCGACTTCCGCGTGCCTCAATTTCCTCTTCTCCTTTTTCGTAAGGCGCTTTTCCCACACAGTCCCAGATGGTGTTTCTACGACTGACCCCTTTCGGGAGCTACCCTCAATGGGTGTCGTAGGTTGCTGTGGCTGTTGAGGTTTCGCTGGATCGGCAACTACGTCAGAGAAGGACCTAGAAGTCTGGGTCGCCTTGACCTTAACTTTAGGCTTAGCTGTATGAACAACCTCTTCTCTTTTTGGAGGGCTTTCTGATGTAGGCCTCCTGCGTTTCTTGGAAGCTCGCGCATTGTCGTCAGGTAGGGACACCACCTTCTCGGCGATCCTTTCCATGGCCGCCTTGCTCACCAGCCGGCAGGCGAAGACAAAACCAAGGTCGTCCTCGAGCTTAGCCATACCATTTTTAACCACTTGGTTAACTCCTCTCTGCGTCTTAAAGGTTTCAAGCATTGCCTTTATGGTCTGCTCCATGTTTCGAAGCCGGTTTTCAATGTCATTTTCTGCGACGAGATATTGCTGACGCAGAAGTACCATTCCCGACACTTCCAAATCTAACGCTGCTGTTAGGGATTCCTCCGGCATCCCTTCACCAGACTTAGAGGGTGGTCCACCGTTTCCTTCTCCACTTGTCAAGGGAGATCCCAAGGTCAAGTCCTTTGTACACCTGAAAGTTGCAGGTGGAGGGGACGTCTTCACGCCTTTCAATGTTGGCGATCTCTGGACCTTGGAGCTTCGCCCAAAAGGGTCTCGCTCTACTTCCGACTTCTTTTCTTGCTCATTCGAGCTACTTATCAAAGATGTGTTCAGGGTATTTGTTATAAAAGCCATCTTGTGTTTACCAGCGCATCGTGCGGCAAGGGGCGGCCCGGAATAGTCAGGAACGGGTATACCCTCGGGGACAGCGCCCCTACCCCAGTTCCCCGAGGCCCAACCTCCGTTTTCCCAGCACCGGATACCTGACGTGCCGGGGGTCACCCGTCACAATGTAGAGCCCGACCTCTACATCCATGCCGCACTCCCTGACCAAGGACCGAAGTGGCTGGCTTCTCACGACTCACTGAGAATACACATCGGCAGTGCAGGGCACACATCAACCCCTGCAAACACAACAGGGGAACTCCCAAGGACTCCCAGTGAGAGCGTCGGTCACCCTTTTAGTCGCCTCTTACGACAAGCCCGGGAAGGCTGCGGTTCTATTCTAACCCCGAAACCGCAGGGGGCAAACTGTTCGTTACTGTTCGTTCCGCGACCGCGAATAGTAGTAGAGTGAACTGAACAAATCAATTCTATAATAGATTGAGGTTATGTTTACTGTCTTTTTAGTGAATGATTGGTTAAAGTGCCTTGTTTAAGTTAATTAAACATTCGGAATACCATTATGAAATAACTCAATAACTCGTTTATTGAACCAAGTAGACACAATTACATGTATAGGTTAGGTCAAAATAATATAATATGCATTGGAATTGAACTTAAAATAATAAAATTAACTTAAACATACTTTTTACAAATCATTCTGTCTAAAGGAAAATTAAGATTCTAGCCGTCAGTCAGGAAGTCACGGAAGCTGTAGTAGCATTTATTTAATAGAAAATATTTTAACTTCCTTTTGAATTTCAGAAGGTCTGACTCTGCCTTTAGATTCATTGGAAGGTGGTTAAAGATATTTACTGCATTGTATTTTGTAACGGAGATTTTTTTTAAAAAAGGTTGTACAGTGAACAGGGACTGGAAGATTATAAGAAGTTCTTAAATTGTAAGCATGGTTATGGGAATTGTTGAACTTGTCGATGTTTTGTTTTAGGAATGACAAGGTTTTGTAGATGTAAAGTGATGGAAACGTTAAGAGTTAAGGTGTTTGCAGTTTGAAAAAATGGTTTGCAGGTTTGTCGTCTTTTTAAAGAAAATATAGCTCTAATTGCCCGCTTCTGCAAACGGAATAGAAATAAGGTCCACTTATTCTCATACCCGAGTGAAAATTTAAAAACGTACGTTTTCAGGAAAAGCACTTTGCAAATTTTTTCCCCCTTTTTTCAAAACTTTTATTATTTTTTTTATTTTATTAACATTTGAAGTTTTATAAAATGTCCATGGTAACGCAATATTTTTGGTAGTTTTTTTTTTAAAGAGCATCATTAGTGGAAAAACACAAAATCCTGTCACGACCATAACGGACGTTTAAATGAATATTAAAAATAGTTAATATTATTTTTATAACTATGTTTTGCTATAAACGAATTTAATTTTATGACCATTATACAATAAAAAGGTCACTGAGCTTTTGGTATATTTGGTCTTTCTAGAAAAAAAGGAAAAAACTCAAAAAATTGAAAAAAAGCCAATAAAATCTTTTTAAATTTGTATAACTCCGAAAAAACTTTCCAGAGACCCGAAAAATCGTTATGTTTGTATAGAGGTGTGCTTCTTTTGTGTATAAAACATTAAAATATGATGATATTTTAATTTTTGAATTTTTTATGATAGAAATCATAAACGTGATGGTCAGGGACAAGCGGTACGGTCGTGAATTGTCTGGAATAATCTAAATCTTTCTAAACAATCCTTCAATTATACTGTTAGATATAATAAAATTATGTGTTTCAATTGAACTAAACTGTTCAATTTACAATTATATTAAAGTTATTGTCACGACCAAACACACTATAATCCATAAGGCTGGATTGGTCGTGAAAAAAAACCGCGATGGTCGTGAAACTTTGGTCGTGAAATTACGTGTTATTTGGCTCTGTTCTGGCGGTAGCTCTGCACCTCATGTTCGAGGATACAAAGTGGACTTCTAGGTTAATCTAGTAATTGAAATATCTTATAAACAAAAAATAACACCATGTCTACTTCATCGAATGACTACGTACGGTCATGGACACACCAAAATTACAAAAAAACACAATCTTTCCTTTATTAATCTTGTAATTCCTCCTTTCAACTCGAAACGACCGGCACTACAATCCTGACGTACACCCCGAACTAGTCTCTAAAACCAACTGACTCCATCGACGCCAGGCTTGCAACTGTCGTGCCCCAAAGTAGAAAATTTTTCCCAAATGGTCGTGACGCCAAATCGAGGGACAGACTTATTTTGTCATGGTAGTCAGTTTGCAATGACAATAAAATTATAATATGCTCCTTTTTTGTAAGTTTAATAACCATTGATGACATAAAAATATGGCTTTATATATTTCGGCATGAATAATTAGTCTAAAAATAGCGTGAAAGTTGGAAAATGTACCCTAGGGACACGTCCTGGTCGTGAATTTCGAGACTTTAAAAATACGAAAAAAATACCTAGAACCTATTTAAAACAAAATAAATGTGTGTAACATGTTGCCCCCGTCCCAAAAAATATTAAAACACATAATAATAAACTACAAATCCAGTATCTACGAAGTAAAAGCCCAGGGACATGAAAACGTACGTTTTTAAATTTTCACTCACCCCCATATGGGCAAGGCATAGGTAAGATGTGGGAAAATAAGGCCATAATAGGCGGAAAGTAGGACATCAGATTTAGTCGAATTTGCAAGGGTGCGGATGGCAAATATTCCTGAACAAACTCTTTTTATTACGTGGTCAATATGATGGTAAAATGTTAACTTGTCTAAAAACAATCCGAGAAATTTAGTGCAACTAATGGGGTGGACAGGATACACATCTAGATGAAAGCTAAACAATGAGGAAGAACGATCGGATATGTGGAAATTAAGAATATGCGTTTTAAGGGAATTGACAGAGAGCAGATTGTCGTCAAACCACTGAGCTAAACTGTTGGCCTCTGCAAATGTTAATTGTTCTATGGATTCCACAGTGGGGCCGGACAATGCGAGAGACGTGTCGTCGGCATAAAGGAAAGCCCTGGCCGATTGGATTCCAGTGTGGAGATCGTTTACAAACAACAGAAACAGAGTAGGGCCAAGAATGGAACCCTGGGGCACACCACTCAATGTAGGACGTTCGGGTGAGTTATATTGTCGTAGTAATCCATGTTCATCAACGGACGACACCCTTACGCATTGCCTCCTTCCCTTCAAATAAGAGCAGAACCACTCTAGAGCCAAGCCTCTGATTCCAATACTTTTCATTTTCTCAAGTAGGAGGTCATGATTTACTGAGTCAAAAGCCTTGCTCAGATCAAAGAACAGGCCTGCAGAACAGTTCCCCTCATCAAGAGCACTCACGATGTCATCAATGAGAGCAAACATCGCACTGGTGGTAGATTTATTTTTTACAAAGCCATGTTGGGATTCACTAATTATTTCATGTTTTTCTAGAAATTTTGTTAGGCGCTTTTCAAACACTTTAGATATAGCTGTTAAAATGGATATAGGCCGATAGTTGTTGAGATATTTAGAGTCACCTTTTTTAAATACTGGTCTGACTATTGCAAGCTTTAGGGAGTCGGGAAAACAACCAGAAGAAAAGGAAAAATTTATCAGGTGGCTGATGGGTTCTGCCAGTAAGTCAGTGATATTCTTTAACATTCTAACTGATATTTCATCGACTCCAGCTGAGTTTTTGTTTTTCAGGGTTGCTATTACTTCTTTTATTTCTTTCTCAGATGTAGGGTGGAAGAAAAAAGATTCCTTTGGCTGTTCAGCTACGACTTTTTTTCATGTTTTTACTGATTTATCATTGTGCTTCACAAAGTAGTCATTGAATTTGTTGGCAATGTTTAAGGGGTCGTGGGTCAGTTCTCCATCAATGTCTCTAATACACATATCATCAAATGTATTATTCTTTATTGGCCTTCTGCTGTTAATAATTTGCCAAATCACTTTTGATTTATTATCAGCTGACTGGATTTTGCGTAATATCTCATTAGATTTTTCTTCTTTTATAACAGAACGGTAGCGACATTAGCCTTCTGTAATATTCACGCATGAAATGAGTTGACTCTAGATCCTTTGTTCTGTGGTAAAGACTGCATAGCTCTTTATGCCTAAAACAGTTTTAGGTTATACCTCATTACAGACATATCCGTATAATAGTCGATTAGCGTCTCTAGGAACAAATAAATCACCTTTTTTAGTTTCCTTCATAGGTTTGTTTCAATGTTATTATTCAGTGTAACTTAAACCAAACATTTAATGGTATTTAATTAAATTTTATCCCTTAATTAGGCTAGGTGAAGTGCAGTTTGGTATTGAAACTAGCAATGATGTTTCTCTTTAACACAATCTTTAATGGATCATTATAATTTATCTTGTAGGCTAATACATTTTAAAATTAATTATAGCCTAGGCTAGTTCTTTACGGTGCTGAAGGGCCACCAACTATAAAAAAATATTTGTCTTCATCTCTGAGAAAAAACTTAGAATTCTGAGATTAAAGTCAGAACGCGGGAAGTCGGCATCCTCTCTGAGAAAAAAGTCTTGAAAGACTTGACCTCAGGACCCGCAAACGTTTACGTCGACGAAAATACAAGAACAACGGTCCAAAAGTATCTTTGGCATTTAGATACATATGATAAGTTAAAGCCATTATGGCATACACATACTCGTATGTGTCCATGGTTGTAAAGACTGAGTTTGAAGAGACTATAGCTTATTCTACTCATTCACTCAGTCAATACTCAACTCAAACTCAAGACTAGCCTAACGCTAAAGGGGCGGGTAGACAGAGAGCAAAGAGTTAAAATCTGACTTAAATCTCAGAGGGGAACGCCCACTAGATCTAGTTGTAATTTATGACTTTAAACTCAGAATTCTGACTTTTTCTCAGAGGGGAAGCCTACTTCCCGGGCTCAGACTTTAATCTTAGAATTCTAAGTTTTTTCTCAGAGATGAAGAAAATATTTTTTTATTCAGTTGGTGGCCCTTCAGAGCCGTCGTAGAATTTAACTTGTGGGCGTTCCTTGAATTGGACGTTCTTCTCCTGCCTAAAGAAACGGTGAATTGAGCACCGAAATGGACACTAATGAAAGAGAAGCCATTTTGGTGATTATTTTAGATTAGGCTTGGCTCAGGCAGAAATATAGCTTTACTTTGCTTGTAAATATAACACTGTGTTGAGTATTAGACAGTTGAAACGTATTTTAAAAAGGTTTAGGTTTGTGTAGGAGGATTAATTAGTCTTCAATTAAAGAGATGAAACATTTCATTAGGAATATTGAGCTTAACATCCTGCTGCCATAAAGAAAAAGTGAATCTACTACCATACCGAGAAAGCCATTATATCCAGACAGGGTGTCCACCAGGCCAACAAAAAAAATCATGAGTAATTCATGAGTAAAAAAAATCCAGTACCGGTAGTTCAGTTCGTACTTTTCAAACTAAAATTTCCAACGTGTTCTGCGCCAACTCTCGCATTGCTGTTTTAGCTCTACCACAGCTCGCTATTTTAGTTATCGGATAGAACATTCTCAGTTAAAGAAACAAAACTTATGATTACTGTAATATTGCCTGACACAAGTATTCAATTGTTATATATTACTGATCAAATCATCCGAAAATTAACAACTAATGCTTAAACCTGCAATTTATCAATAACTTCTTAGAAATAGTGATATGTCGATATACAAAAATTATTTGAATCTCTGTACAGACACCTGAAAAATAGATTCTTAATACTGATCATTTCAATTTTACCAAATTTTCTGTAATGACTACTACACCAACCCCTGTCTTTAGATACTTTCATATAGTATGTAATCTTGGAGTTATAGGTTGTTTCTCAAGTGAACTACAGAAATAATTATCTCTGAATAATATAGTTTTAACGTAGCCGTTATTGTACTGAATGTCTTCTTCAAGTTTGTTTAGAAGTTTTTGATTTATTATCCTGGCTTTCGTCCAAGTACACATAATACAGTTAATACTAGGTAGTAAACGCATCGTTGATTTAAGTATGCGTCCTTACTTCAGGAATAGACGTGGGTTTACATTTTGGATAATTAACTTATTCAAAATATAATGTTAAGCTACGTTATTTCATGTTTACAGAGCCTCTTTGAAGACTGTGTTTTAAACAATATGGTCATATACGTTGTTTTAATGGCTTTGCTATTATACAGACATAGTTTTCACTGAAAAATTGCACCCAGCAAACCACAAACAACTTGTGTAAAAAGAAACAGGGTCCGGCACGTACCAGGGCCACCTTAAACTACAGGCCGCGGCCTGATAGAATTGGCAACGTCACAAGTGGTGTTGTTTAGTGACAGACGTCCCATAAGATAACATGGTGAACACCTTTTTTACCTTGGTGCTCTTCACCGTAGTCGTAGAGACTAGGGAATCGTCATCAGCTCATTAATTCGCGATTCATAGATTTAAAATTAAGAACATACAGTTATTAAAATATTGAAAATAAAACATATAGGATTGAAAACCGAAACAATTTGAATAAAAAATCTATATCTGTACATTTTAAGCAGAGTCAATATTGTCATAGTCCAGTAATGAATATTTCGTAAAAACAAAAATACCATCATAGCTGCTTCCATACAAAACATCTGTTACTGTTAATCCTAACAAACTTTGTTTTCAAGAGCAAGCAGCGAATTTCGGCTTAGTTATATAAATTTGAAATACTTACCTTTTGATTACTGCACATAGGCCTAATAACTGAGCTATACTAGTTTGTATACAATAACTATGCTATAAGAATGGAATGGTTATTTATTCAAGTCACTCTTTTCAACGTAATTTAATATGACCGTGAAAATAAGTTAATGTATTTCATTTTTGTTCATTCAAACATAATATGCATTATTGTTCATTCGGTAACAAATTATGAACATCTATTACTGGCAAATGTGGACGAAATACCTGTTGTAAAATTTAGTTGTAGGTATCTGGTACAAAGTATTTCACGGTTTGTCAAAGTTTTACCCTTTGTGAATTTAAGCTAACCCATGAACAGTTAGTAGCCTACTTGGGAAGGTTAAACAAATATTAATGAATAACGTACAAAAAAGTCTGTTAGGCCTCTCACACTCGGAATGGCCTTAATTTGCAGTTTCTTAGAATATCCTTTCACAACAAGCAATTCATTAGGTGTCGGGTAACTTGGTTCAGTTCACTTTCGTGTGATTCCCCTCTAATATCCAACATAACTATTGTTTTGATTTTACTTGGTAATCATAATTATTATACAAGCTCTTGGGTGAAATGGGGGGGTACAATTCCAGGGGGTACAATTCCGGGCCGTACATCTTCTTCTGCGGTCACCAGGGGGTACAATTCCAGGGGGGTACAATTCCACCCCGTACACTGGCCAAATAAAAGTGAGTTCTAACTGAGGGGGTACAATTCCAGGGGGGTACAATACTTTATACTTTCTTATGAAATGGCGACCATACAATGTAGGTATTTTAAGCCAAGTATGAATGGAGATGAGTGTAGGATGAGTGGCGCGATCTTGTAGTCTTGTTAGTGACTAAGGCCGACATTCCTTAGACACAGCTGTTAATTAATAGCCCAAACAGCTAATGGCAACTAAGGGACCTACAGTTTATAGTGGAATCCGAACCACATTTTTTCCTTGGTATTTACGAATTGGTCTAATTATCAGGATAGCACTGCGGATAGTCGTAATACTCACTAGTGCGGACGTTAATCCACACCAGGGAGTATCCCATCCACAGTGCATACCTATAAATATCCACAATCCGTGACCTCCTAGTAGCTGGATTACAGGACGACGCCACCCGTTCCAATTCCGGTCCGTACAGTTTTTTAGAAGCCAGTGGATTTAATCAAACCACTCGTGCATAACAATATCAAAGTTTTATGAGGGGGGTACAATTCCAGCCCGTACACGCCGTTTTGGTCGAGAAAATGAGACGTCATCATGACGTCACTAACCTGCAGGGGGTACAATTCCGCCACCCCATTTCCAACTCACTTCCAAACTGTTGGATTTCAAAAATACCAAATCCTGTTGTTGGTTGAGTTGAGTGCTGACGATTTATTTATTTATTTCCAACGGCAGCAGCCAATTTACAAGGACAAGCATAGATGGTAGAATACAGCGGAAAATTAAAATTAATACAATCAGATGAAAAATCTACATAAAGTAACAAAATAGGTATACAAGAATTTGATAATATATAATAAGTTTACAAAGATATAACAAGTTATAAATATCCAAAACATAAAAACAACAAAAAATAAAGATTAACAAACAACAATAATTACTCAAGGATGGAAACAACTCAGAAAATTGATTTAAATAAAATGTACTTTACATAAAAAACAAC